AAAAAATTGTTTCATATCTTTACCCGTAATACATATATATTATTATAGTTAAATTAATATAATACATAACAAAAATTGAATGTACATTTTTGTATTAGAATTTTAAATAAGGAAGCTCTTAGGAGATCACAAGAAATTTATGATCAAGTAATGGCGAACCGGATGGGGGATCGACGTAAAGTGCATCAGGACTTTCGAGACAAATTGTTATTACTTTTGTCTGATTTACATCTATATATTAAAGGCATTCAAAAATTTGATAACACTGAAACTCAAGGACAGCTCACTTCATTCTTGATAAAATCTATTGGTGGAGAGATTGTAGAAATAGTTAAATGTTATTTAGCACAAAATAAAGAACAAAACTCAGAGGTATTATCACCTAATATTTATATTAATTTCAATTATAAGCAATTTTACTATCTCTAATTATTTTTCAGTCAAAATCTAATCAATATGATAAAAAAGTTGAAGATGCCATTGAAAAACTTCAAAAATCATTGACATCTAAACTGATTGATGATTTCCATGTAGCTGTTGATGAGTTGTTGTCTTCTGTAGATATTGTACAAAAAAAATATGATCRTAAAAAAGAAAGGTACTTTTATAATATACATGGCCGGCGCTAAGGGGAGGTGCAAAGCTGGGCATTTTCCCAGGGGATAATTCATATGGAAATAGTATTGGCTGTAGTTGACTATAGTTATTGGTTGAGTCAATAACCATATTTATGGAGGCATAAGTTTTTCTCAGGACCTTGCAAAAGTTAGCACCGGCCCCGATATTATATACACATAATACAATATTTAAATTACCCTTTTTCTTAAAATATAATCACTGACACTTACTCATACAATCACAAATTTTTAACCACTTGTTGTTTATTAGAGAACACTTACAAAATAATCGTCAACTTCTTCTGAAATCGTTATCGGACATTGAGGATGACAGTGCACAATTACTTTTACTTGCTACACAAATACTTTTCCAATCTATTACACAGACAATGATTAAAGTCTCAGGGAAGTTTGTATCTGTCCTTTTAGGATTTTTACAAAAACACCTAASTGATCAAGACTTTTCTGTTCTACAAAATTACCATGGTATGATTCTTAAGTTGTCTTTACTAAATGAGAATATCATTCTTTATTTTTTATTTTTAAGATCTTGTTGTACAACTCTTAAAAGCTGAAGATCCCGAAGAAAAAAATAATATCAAATCAAAACTAGAAGAAACTACGTGCAATGTGAAAAACCTCGTTATCAATTTTAAAAAGTCTTAAGACCAATAAATTAAGATCTTTTAAGTTGATTTTTAATTTTATTTGGACTAGCTAGAACTGAGGTAATAAATTTATTTACTTCATGCTCTAGTGGTACTTGTTATTAAATAAAATTAATTTAATAAAAATTATTTTTTTTAATTGATAGTTATTATACACCATTACTCATAATATAAATCAAATTGTTTTATAATTATGTCAATATTAAATGTAATTTAATGATGATAAGAATAAATTATCATTAAGTGTGTTGTGTTAGGGTTAGAAGTACTTATTTATAATAATTCTGTTTAATGTGTGCAGGCCAAAATGCACAATTACATTGAAATGTAATACGTATTCACCAAAGGAAAGATGTGGTACTTACAGCTCTATATTGTTTATGTATTTCACATTCATGAGTATGTGACACAGCATAATCATAATCTATACAATTATATTTGGCTTATAATGAGCTATTTRGCTCAATTGAGCTATGATRACACTTAAAGTAATAGGAAATGTTTACTGTGACCTTTTCTGAGTTCATGTTTGAAATAAATAATATACATAATCTATTAACATGGTAATTCAGACAATTTGTGTATGATTCTAAAGATTTGTCATTTCTTTTGAAAAAAAAATATTATCCTTCAAAATAAAATAAACATTATTTGAATTTAATATTACGACACATCTACATTATGTTTTAACATATTGACTTATTCTTAATCATGAGTTCACAGAATAYGACTGGTATCAGCTAGCATGACTTGATGCTCTCTTAAGACATTATTACATAATTCAGCTAAAATTGTATTTAGTTTTTATTTTACTGCCTTTTAACTACTAGTTTTCGCTTTACCATGAATTATGACATTTCAGAGCGTCACCTCACTTACAAAATCAACAAAAAATATACCAAATTCATTAACATAAAATAAATATGAACACACTAGCTAACTTGAATCTATTACAAACACAATTTCATTAAAGTTGTTAAGACACTACTTTTTATATTTAATATCATGTTGACATCAGTGTTATACTAACGATTTAATAAAATATCTGTACGGAATAGTAACAAAATTAAAAAACTGTACATTTTTGTTAATTTTAATAGAACAATAATTTAAAATTACCATTTGAAGCTGGACAATATTATGCATACTAGTGCACAATGGCTAATGTGACTCAAAAGTGGACAAAAATAATAATTTTTGTAGGTTTATTAAAATTGTATATTGACAACACGAAATTTTTTATACATAAAGTAAATCACCCGTTAACACAATTACGTGATAATGCCAATAATGTAAAAACAACATAAAAAAAAAAAAAACAGGTACAACTTATAATAAACATTTTTTTACAAAAAGAATAAAATGATAGAAATAAAATAATAATTACAAAAAGTTGTATAATATTTATATATGTTAAATATTTTTATGATTATCTAAAGGGTTGTTGATGAATGTTGTTTTAAATTAATAAGTTATTTCTACAATAATATTCTTAAATTTAGGCACCTACATCACCCATTGGAAAAATTTTCATAATTTTACAGCAATGACATTTTCAATCCACAAAAAAAATTTAGATCAATATTTGGCAATTAACTGAATAAATTGATTACGAGATAATATGTAATAGAAACAATTTCTCATTGAGATAAAATAATAATAAATGATAAAAATGCAACTTTGAAAATTTTTAGACATCTTCACTTTCCAGTTTAATTTTTGAAAAATCAAATTCTTCTCCAGTTGCTCGTTTGTAAATATCCAAAACGTCCAAGCATGTTGTCTCGAAATGCGATGTAGCATCATACGACTTTGAAATAAATACTTTGCTATCCTTTCCATCGTCAATAGGTTCATAATAATCAGAAATGGATACAAATTTCTGTTTGATAGGTCCCAACAAGTCTAAACCGGGCTTGATTTCCAACTCTGGGTTGCTAGTTTCAACTTTGGAAGAAACCATAGCAATAAACCATCCTTGTGCAGACACTTGATGGGTGTTGCTTACTAACGAAACATAGATATCAGACTTGCGGTTGACCTGGTTCTGTGGAATTATGATCTGAGTAGAAAGTGCATCACGGGTGTTTGGTATAGGATGATTCAATAAGCAAATGCAACGGATTACTTGACCAGTTTTTTTCACTCTTTCTTTTACGTAGGATGGGTCGCAAAAAACTTGTTTACACTTAGCGACAACACCACCGCTCTTTATACCAACTACACTCGATCCTTCAAAAACGATTTCATCAACAGGAGTATTCAACATGTAAGTACCACCATAAATAGCACTRAGCCGAGCAAAACCTTGAGGCAGTTCTCCAAGCCCGTACAAGGGATACAAATACGGGCTTTTTCCGTAACGAGCAAGAGAATCGCTGTACAACTTGATGCGTTTGATCAAGTTGGCAGCGGGTTCGTTGATATAGTCATCATTCAGATAGAGAGCCAGAGCGTGACCAGTGAAGTCTTGAGTGTTCTTGTCCAAACCGAACTTGGTGTACAGCTGATAGGCAGACATTTGCTGAGGGTTGACATCCTTCCATGTCTTTGGATCATTCTCCTGGAAGTCTTGMACGAATATTAAGAAATTTCTGAACCGCCTCTTCTCAAATATTCCCATCAAATCCGACGACAGGGCTTCCTTCTGGTCGACCGGCACCTTGTAAATTTTGCCACCCTTGTACACGTAGCTGCCCTCGACCGACTTGAACTCCAAATAGCGCGTCACGCCCGTGTGTATGAGCAGCTTAACTAGCAAACCGTTGGCCATGAGGAACTTGGGCACTAGGTCGACATTCCAGTCGCGGCCGCGCCCGTGCTCCTTCTCGTCTGGCTCCTTCACGCCGAACTTCTGGAACAACTCCTGCAGCGGCGTGATCGATGCCGACTCACCGCCGTAATACTTATTGCGATCGACGTGCAACACTTTCTTACCAGAAACCGACAGCATACCGGACAGGATGCATTCCTTGAGGCCGGTGCCCAGCACGATGCAGTCATATTCTTCGTCCATAGTTATTTATTAATCAAAATAATATAATATGACGCGCTAAAGACACGCTGTGTGTCCTGACTGGACGCCGTGTGTACGGTAGAAGCTCCGATCGGATGGGCTCGGAAAACACGAAATCAAAAAAAACGATTGACGAGGAACTGTTACCGCACTAGACAGCGTTGTAAGTACGTTATTGATTGTTATTATCTTTCCTCGCGTAACGAAT